ATGGGAGAAGGGCTTCCTACCTGTTCATGTAACTAAGAGTATTTTTTCTGCTTTCTTATACAAAGAAATCAGAAAAGTTGGCCAATAATCATGCAAGAGAAATTCTATAGCATTTATAATGTTCACTAAGATACCTAAAAGCATCACCATTGCTAATATACCAGAATATCAATGTATTAATATATAATGAAAAACATCAAGTAGGCAAAAATAATGAAATGAGTTTGTAAGGGCTCCCCTCCTTAAATGTCCCTCAATGGCTCATGTGTTAAAGGACTGGTTCCCAGCCATGGTGATACTGGAAGGTGGTAGAACCTTTAAGAGGTAAAGTTTAGTGGGAGGAAGTTAGGTCATTGGGGACATGCCCGTGGAAAATCCCCAGCACCTTCTTTTGTTCTTGGCCATCATGAGACGAGCTGCCAAAAACTGCCAACATTCCTGCCATGATATACTGCTCTACCACAGGACAAAAGCAACAGGGCAAATCTGTCATGGACTGAAGCCTCCAAAATGGTAAGCCAAAATAAATCTTTCTTATCGTCTCAGGTATCTTGTTATGGTACCGTGAAAGAAGGTTCACAAGAACAGTAGCATTTTAACATTCACATCTGTGCTAGAGAGGGCACTGGGATAAAGGAACTTTCTTATACTCTATACTCCATTGGTGAGAATATAAATTACTACAGTCCACATGGAAATCAGTATGGAGGTGTCTCATAAAACTAAAAATAGAAGTGCCGTATCATCCAGCTATATCACTCTGGTATTTATCCAAAAGAATTAAAATAAGCATACTTAAGAGATACATTCATACCCATGTTTATCAAAGCACAATTCACTACAGTCAGGCTATGGAATCAATCTAAGTATTCAGCAACAGATGAACAAATAAAGAATATGTAGTATACATTCACAATGGAGCTTTATTCTACCATAAAGATGAACAAAATTATGTCATTTGTAGTAAAGTAGATGGAACTGAAGCAATCATGTCAAGCGAAATAAGCCAGATTCAAAAAGACAAGTACCATATGTTTTATCCCATGTGTGGAAGCAAATGGGGAAAAAAAAGGATTGAGATTTATACATAGCTTAAAAAATAAAATAAAAGGATATCATGAAAGTAGAAGGGAGGGGCTGGGGTTGTGGCTCAGCGGTAGAGCGCTCACCTTGCATATGAGAGGCGCTGGGCTCAATCCTCAGCACCACATAAAAATAAATAGATAGATAGATAGACAGATAGATAAATAAATAAATGTGTTATGTCCATCTACAACTAAAAAATAAATATTAAAAAAAGAAAAAAAGTAGGAGGGAGACCAATAGGCTAGAAGGGGATCTGGGTTTGGAAGGAAAGGATGTATCTGGGAGTAAAACTGATCAAATGATATTGCAGGTTTGTACCAATAGGCCACAATGAAACTCAATGTATAATTAATATGCAACAGTAAAAATTCTCATCTGTTTTTCTCAAAAATACTTTTTATACCCATTCTTTCCTCTCTACCACATTCTATGTCTCTACTGAGTTTTCACAGGAAGAAATATGCTTACATTAGTCAAAACACACACACACACACACACACACACACACACACACAAAACTGCAACAAGTTTCACTAAAAAGACTTACCCTATTTATATGTGATATACTCTAAGACTGTCTTTTCTTTCTTTTTAATAGATTGCAATGCGCCAATAGGTGCAACTTTAAATTCGAAAAACCCAATCTACTATAGCCACCTCTCTGATCATTATTAATTTATCTTCCATACTATCACTTAACCTCATGGTCATATTATCCTCTGCTTAAAACACTAAAATGATTCCCTCTGCCCCATCTGAAATAGAAAAGAAAAAAAAATTGTGTATATGATTCATTGATTCACTCAGGAAATATTTATTGAGATCCTACCATATGCTAGGCACTGTGCTAGGCATGGGTTAGGCATGACTCCTGTTAAAATGGAGATTACACTAGTCATTACATTAAGTATTTCATATTATTTGAGTTCTTCTGTGTCCACCTCTCTTAATTCCTTTCCTTCTCTCCCTCAACTTTTACCACATTACTATAACCACTATGATCAGCACACAGGTTCCAGAAAAAGCTACACTCTTTCATACAGTGTGGCTGTCATCTATAATGTTTTTGTCTGGCCAGAATGTCCTTCTCTCCTTTAATCAGTTAGCATATTCTTTCTCAGCCTTCAAGAACCAACTCAAGTGTCTCCTATAGAACAGTTCCCTGGCTTCCTTTCCTCACACCTTCAGTTCACTCATATCTCTTGCCATCAGTGCTGGCCATAGTCCTCTCTTACAGTGCCCATCACACTGTGCTGTAGTCATTTAAGATGGCAGTCTTCCCTAGACTCTAAGGTATCTTTGTCTCCACAGCAAAATTCATTTCTCACAGAATAAGTGTATGAATATGTGCTCTAATTTTGTGTGGGTCCATAATGCCATTATACTGATTACTCAGTGTTTTGAAAACATATATTTTTCTAGATGGTGTAGTAAGTATAGAGGTAAGAACTTTCTTTTTAAATTCTCATCTTAACATATGGATGTTTTTCTTCATTAAAAATTAGCTTAGCAGCAGCCAGTCTGACTTGGGATATTTGTCTTGAAATTGATCCAATGAATATTCTCAATTTCAATAACTACTCTGGCAAGAAAAAGCACACAGGATTTCCAAAATCAATACATTAGGTCAGTGTCTGCAGTGCAGCACAATTCATACAGGCAATTCAGTGTTATCCCAAGTGTTTCTATTTCTCAATGCTAATCACTTTTGATTTGAAGATAAGCTGTCAGATGCCATCAATCTATTCACCATCTCCCACCACTCCTACAGAAGGCTTTGCTGTCTCCTTTTCAAATAACTTCAGGAAGTTTTTGTAGAGTAGGATGTCTTTTTAAATACGAAACTTTTAAATAGGCTTTAAACAGTCATCATTATGTAAGAGTAATATAGAACACATACTGAATTCATGCAGAGATTCTCTAAAGTTCTGTGTCCACTTTACCTTTCATCATGTTTCCAGTAAGACTCAGATTTCCCAATTCTACTTTTAGGTCCCATTTAGCAAGGGAAGTCTCCTATTTTCCTAAATTCCATCACCATTAAATGTTTGGATTCATTCCCACGGCTACCAACCTAATTCAAATCTGCATAGTCTTAGGGGCTCTGAGACCAGATATGTTTCCTGAGCAATTTCTCATATTCTTTCAGTTTCTTCATGTCAAAAATGAAGACATTCAGACCTATGCATGAGGGTAATGGGAAAGATGAATGAGAGCGTGTGCATGGGTGAGCCTGGCACAGGGCCCAGCATCATGCAGATGCTAGCTAACTCTAAGGAACTTTTCTCTTCTTTTCCAGCTCTCTCCTTCCCCAGTTCTCCTCTCAGACTTCACAGCAAGACTTATCCTGAAATATGCATGTGATCTCCTTACTCTCCTTCTCAAATTCTTCCAGAGTTCCCCACACTTTAGGAGGGTAATTCTCCAAGTGTGATCCATGGAACAGTAACACTTTAAGAACTATGAGAAAGGGAAATTCTTAGGCCTCAATTCAGACCCCTGAATCAGAAACCATGGGTGAAAACAGGGCCAATAATGTTCTCATAAACCCTCCAGCAGATTCTGAAGTGTGCTCCAGTTTGAGAATTGCTGCCCAAAGGACAAAGTCCAGTCTTCTTAATCTGGGATTACACAGCTTCCCCAAAACAATTTTCCTGCACTCACCTTTCCAAACCTCCTCTAAGGAGAGTTTATTTATTATCTTCCAAACCTACCACTTACTTTTCCAACTCCAAGATTATACTCTCTTGTTGTCTCTTTCCCTGTGTATAGCACCTATCCTATCCTGCTTAAATTTCACTCTTCTTTTAATTCTTTCTGGATGATCCCAGTCTTGTAATTTTTTCCCCATCCTTTAATTCCAATTATTTCTGAATATTGATTTAGGTGATAATCTGCACAGATCACAAGACATACCTGGCCAATTACATTTTAAAAAGCAAAAAAAAAATGCACATAAAAATAAAGATTTGGGGCCTGTGTTGCAGAAAATCATCTTTTTAAGAGAAAACCACTGTTCCACAAGGCAACAAATGATTAGCAAGTTTCAAGGGCTCATCAGCAATTTCCATTTCAAATATATATTTTATTTCATCATCTTCAAATTCCTCAGTGATTTATATTTCTTATAATTATGTAACTTTTCATGTTTTCTCTCTCCTATTAGAATACAGCACTTAAAAGGGCAGGTATTTTTTTTAAAAAAATCCTCTTTTCCTGAATGCAAAACAGTATTTAGTGATTACTATCTAAAATAATATTCCGGACATTGTATAGAGGCCCAAAAGATTTAAGTTCTCCCAGAAACTTTTGATTTTCCACAGACTTGGTACAGTTTTATTAGTTTTTTTAAAATATATGTATCAGAGTACAGCTTTTTTCATTTTTCAGTGAGAAATACATATTTGAAGACAGAATGTCCTCTGCTGGAAGAGATCTAGCCCTGCCTGGGCACAGTGTTCGACAGAACCTAGATACTGCCTGTGACTTTTAGTCTGAACCCTATTTTTATATCCTAGACTTTATCCCTCACAAAATGTGTTAGTCTCACTCTTCGGTGGACTATTGAGCTTTTCTCGCACCCCGCCAGATCTGGTGGTGACAATGGAAAGCTGCCTTGCCAAAGGTATCTTCCTAATGGCACAAAACAGCCCAAGATGACGAGAATTTTAAAATAATATCCACGGGGCCTTTCTTTTTCCGGGAAGAAAGGAACTTTCTCTTTGAATCGATCTGCCGACCCCTGCTGGTCCACACGTCCCCCGCCCCACGACATCATCCCATTCAGTAGCCTCCTTCTCCTGCCCCCAATCCTCCAGGGGGCGCCCCCAACCGGGGACTGACCCCAAGCTGGCAGCCTGAGGACTCTCCAGCCCTGACTCCAGGACGACTCGCGCACCCGCGCCCCGACTCACCCTCCCGAGGCCACGGAAGTGCCGTCCCGCCCCTTCCGCCCCTTCCTCCCGCCCCTTCCGCCGGGCAGTGGCGCGCAGGCGCATCGCCAACTGCAGGCACGGGGCGGGGTCTGACCCAGGTCTTCGCAACGTGGCCTGGGAGTTCCGTTGCGGGGGCGCTGGGGTGTCCTCTGGGAAGGGAGCCGAGGGAAACTGGGGGGTGTTAGCGTCTTTTAGGTTAGCTTTTGCTTTTCTCCGGGACCAGTTTGACCCTTCCGCCCCCGGCGTTCGACGACTACGTGCCCCCGCTCCTGTGCTGGCCCTTCACCCGGCCTCGGGTCACGTCCCGAGTCTCGTCCCGCCCCCAGCTGCCCTTGGAGGCTGTGTTGCACCTTCCTTCTTTGTAAACTGTAATGGGGGCTTGGGAGCGAGACGCGTAACGATTGACAAACTCTTGCAATAAGATCTCACTCTGCAAAGCAGTTGGCAACCTGTTGGAGTAAATGCTCATTGTCCAGCCAAAATATAGTTTAAATTTTTTAAATGGTTTTAAATAGCTGAAGGACTCACGTTTCTTCTTAAGAATCATCCATTCATATTTTTTTAACATGCACCAAAGGCAAGAACCTGCACTCACTACCACAACTGTGCCCTCGAGAAGTCCGGGGGCGGGTTGGCGGGGGGGTGTGTGGCTGAAATGAAAATGAACAAGCCTAATATTTGCCATCTCATGGCGGGTTGGAATAGTAACTAATGTTTTTTAAAGAATATTAAGTGCTATAACAGGTAATAAAACTGTTGCATCCAAATCTAGGGCTTTTAGGGAAAACTTATTCTCCTAAATGTTTGCTATAATCCGGTAAAGATAGCATCTATGAACCGTAGACAAGTAGAAATGCTCTCAAATGGGTGCTATAATTAGTATCTGGAACCCAGACCTGTATCCTCACATGTGATTTGCCTAATTGCATGTGATTGGAAAGGTTTAGGCCTTCTCAATTATTTTGATACAGAATGCTTCTTAATGGATGTAGAACAATTAAAAAAAAAAGGATTATTGGTCTTCCCTTTCATCTTTATCATTGGTCTTACTACTAGTCTATAAGATTGCCAGCTTTTTCCCCAAAGAGTAATTGCACACCCAAGAGTAGTCAGGGTACAGAAAATTAAAACAAATCTAAATGAAGCAGAGATTGAGCGGAGAGACTGTGGAAGGGGTCAGACTTCAAAGGTCGGCTACTGAACACAAATATAATCAGGACAGGACAATTTTGTTTCTTTAAGCTTGAGCTTGATCATTTTTTTTCTTTTATTGATAAAGCCTTAAGTTTTATAAAAGATACGTTTGCATTGTCTTAGTAAATGAGGAAGTTTGTTAATTTAAAAACTGAGTTTTTAATCCTAAACTCCTTTTTATTCTACAGATTAATGAAACACTAGTGCATGTTGCTTTTTAAAATTATTCAGGCGTTCCTGAAATTATTTCATGGAAAGTTATTCCTTTGCAAAAAGTTAGTAGACGCTTCAGGAAAAAAAAATGCTAGCATCTCCAATATTGGAGAAAACATGAACCTGTGTTTTGTGACTGAGAAGTACATCTTTGTAGCATGCTTCCCTGAATGTTTAGTCAGATCTCATCCTGAGGAAACATTTCAGGTGAATTTAAAATGTGATCCGTTTGGATTTTCCAATAATGTCAATATAATGAAAGACAAGGAACAACACAGCAAAGGGGACAAATCTATATTTAAGGCAACTGTAAACTATCCTGGGTAGAGTTAAGGATTTTAAAATTTTGAACATAAAGCATCATATATTATTGACAAATTTGTAAGGAATAATATTGGTCATGATTTTTAAATAATTCTTTTGTTTTCAGGAGATGTACATTCAAATACATTTTAGGACTGAAATCAAAATGTCTGCAAATTTCTTTCAGATAATCTAGACCAAAAAAAAGCATGTGGGGAGATAAAATACAGCATTGTATTAACAAGTGGTTGTTCAAGTTACTAATAAATATGTGTTCTTTTAACTCATAGTTCTATAAAGTTTGAAATTTTTAAAAACAAGCTGGAAACAAATTGTATTAGCAATTATTTAATATAACATTATGTTAAGGGTAAAAATTTCATCTGTATAATTTCTTTCAATCTGACCTTAAGAAATGATTCTTCATGTCAAGAACTATAGACACCCATTTGAGAAATTACCTCATTCTTAAAGGCATTTATCAACTAGAGAAATGTTAATGTATGTCATTTGATAATCACTGCTTGGTGCAGTGAATGTTGCCTTTGAAGTTTAACGTAATGAATTTTTTGTAATCTGTTGGCAAATTATAGTTTTTAAATGTCCATTCATTTCAATAAATACTTACTAAATGGTTATGAGGTGCCGGGTACTCTACAGGTTGCAGGACACCCTGAGGATATCAGAATCCAAACATGCTCAAGTCCCTTATATATAAGATGGCCTAGAATTTGCATATAACTTGCACACATGTTCCTGTGTACTTTAAGTCCCATTTAGATTATAATACCTAATACAATGTAAAGACTATTGTTTATGGAACAAGTGACAAAGGGAAAGCATGTGTATACATTAAGTACTGGTACAGTTTTTGGATACAAAGGGTTGATTGTGTTATTCTGGAGATACAGCTGTCACTGACTCTGTTACAAAGTCCCTGCTCACACAGAGCTTACATTTGGGACATGAGAAAAGCAGAGTCAAATAAGCAAAGTTCTGCATAGTGGTGATACATATACTCCCAGTGACTCCTGAGGCTGAAGCAGGAGAATCACAAGTTCAAGGTTAGCCTGGGCAACTTAGTGCGACCCTGTCTCAAAAAAAATAAAAAAGGACTGGGGAAGTAGCTCTTTTGTAGTGTATCCCAGGATTTAATACCACAGAAATAATAAAAAGAGGCAAATATATATCAAATGATACTGCTATGTAGAATAATGAGCCAGGGTTTAAAGTTTAGTGCTAGGTAAAATTTGGGCCTATACTATACACAGGGTGAACAAAGAAGGCCTCTTTGAGAAAGTGATATTGGAGCAGAGACCTGAAGAAAGTGATGGTAGTGAGTTGTGACTGAGGAAAGAACATGCTATTTTTTAAAAAGGGACAGCAACTATTGAGGTTCAAGAGCAGCTTTGCATGTTTAAAGACAGCAAGGAGACCAGAGTGAGTGCTGTAAGCAAGGGGGGAAGAGTAGGAGGTAGGACAGGAGATAATCTAGAGTTGGATTGTGTATTGCACTCAGATATGTTCTAGCTTCTTTCTCAAGTAAGATATGGGAAGTTCTTGGTATAATGCTAGAACAGGTAACAACTCTTATTATTAGTTTATTAGTTTTTTATCACTGCCATAAAAAATTGCCACAAATGTGGTTGTTATGGTTTAAAAATGAGGTGTCCCTCCAAAAACTCCTGTGTTAATGCAGAAATGTTCAGAGATGAAATGACTGGACTTTGAGGGCTATGAATTAATCAGTCCATCCTAGTTTGAATGGACTAACTGGGTGGTGACTTAGGCAGGTAGGGCTTGGAGGATAGGAAGGTCACTAGGCACATGCCTTGAAAGGATTCATTTTTCCCTGCAGCCCCTTCCCCTTGGCTCTCTGCTTCCTGGCCATCCTGAGTGGAGTCATGCTCCACCACACCTTTTTGCCATGATGTTTTATCTCATCTTGAGCCCAGAGAAATGGAGTTTGCCCACCATGGACTGAAGCTCTGAAGCCATGAGCCAAAATAAACTTTCCTTCTCTAAGTTGTCCCTTAGAGGTATTTTGGTCACAGTGATGTGAAGCTGACTAACGCAGTGGTTTAAAAGAACACAATGTATTATTTAACAGTTCTGTAGGTCTGGGGTCCAACACAGGCCTTGGGGGGCTGAAGTCAAGGGTGTTCCTTTCTAGAGTTGTAGGGGGAATATTTCTTTGCCTTTTGCAACTTGTAGAAGCCAGTCACATCCCTTGGTTCATGTCCCTCTTTCTCCATTTTCAAAATCAGTACCATTAGTCAAAGGTTCTCCACTTTTATGTGTTGGTGTCATTAAATTGGGTCCACCAGGATGATCTTCCCATCTCAAACTCTGTAACTTTAATCACACCTACAAAGTCCCCTTTACCTTGCAAGGTGACCTGTTCACAGGTTCTGATGATCACAATGTGGAAATCTTTGGGGGCAGGGGCATTCTTTCTGCCACAGTCCAACCAGTCCACCAAGATTCATGTCTGTTCTCATGCAAAATCCACCCATTTCCTCCAAACCCCCAAATTCTCATATATTACAGCACCTCATCTAAATCTTAAGAGTTCCAAATTAAAGTTATGGATGGTCATGTTTCTGAGATAAAATCCTTTTCATCTGAAATTGTGAAACTAGAAAATGAGTTTTCTGCTCTCAAAATACAGTGACTGAACAGCATGGGATAGCCATTCCGTGCAAATGGAATAAAAGGAATTACTAGCCTTAAAACAATTTCCTAGTCCAATCAGGCAATCTCCACTAAATGTCAATAATCCCTATGGTTCTTGGTTCTACTCTGAGCAACAGGAAGGGAACATGGAGGTCTTTGGGGGGAGGCATTATTCTGTCTACCACAATCATTTTCATTCAATTTATTATTACTTCATACTAATCTTCACTTAACAGAGGTTCTTTAGCACTAAGTTTCTCTATGAGTCCAGTCAAGTGGTTAATTACCTTCGCTTATCTTTCAGCAAATACTTGATCAGTACTTGTGTGGCACATTATTTTAAGGAATTTCATTGTGAATCACTTCATGGGAAATGCAAATATGCCATCTATTTCTACTAGCTGGAAAAAAATGCATTCTTCATTTTTATAGACTGATCAGATTTTCTTATATGCAGGTCACTTATTCTAACATTATTGATTGACCCAAAAGTATTATATAGTATTAAGCATACTATTACAGTATAATGAGATAGGCAAAGTTTTACAACTTCTAAGTCATCGCTCTTTACCTTTGAAGGACGCTGGGAACCCATTTCTGGTTCCCAGCAGGTGGCAGCAAATCAATACTCACTA